GTATAAAGCAACAAACTTAACATAGAACATATACCCAAACACAGTCTCAAGTTATGAAGTACCTGAAGACTTACATATACTTCACATTGTCTACATGGTCCAGAAAGATGCGAACTTGACCATACTGAGGCACATCCATTCCTTGGATTCCAACTTTAACGACAGTATTCCTCTCGATATTGAAGTAGATTAGGTACAAAGGGCTAGGTGGATCGGTTAGCATCGACTTCATCACAATCTCATTTTTCCACGTCATTCCAACAATGACTGACACGTTAATCCCAACAATATCCTTCCACATAGCGGGAAACACATATGTATGCTCAAACCATTCCTGCTTTTCCACATCTTCAAGTACCCACACACTAACACTTGTACTTCTTCTTTCAATAACGTACCGAGAATCTCCAGACACAAGTAAACCTAACTTACCATTGTAGTTTACCATAGTTCCATCACTGACGAGAAATTTCTCCACTTTAATAAAGCTGAACTTTTCAGATCTAACGTCAAAGCAAACCAACATATAAGTCTTTGTAGACTTCTCAAAAGCTTGATAGTAGAAAACACCATTGATGCATCTCCCTTTCCAATGTTCATAAAAATAGAGTAAGCGGTCACAGTTGACCATTTTCGTTGATAGCTTCCCCTTTCCCAATGTCATAACTTGATACCCCTCAGCCACCACGTTGGGAGGTCTATCACCTACTTTTGACACTGACACAGACAAAACCTTGACTTTTTTACTAATAGGATCATACCCTACCAAACATTCTGTTTTAACTCTCCTGGTTAAAGGTAATAATTGACCTGTGCTAGGGTTACATATGGCCGAGGCCGAATACTTATTATTCTTTGAGATCCACTGCTTTGTAAGACCGACCAAGCCGTGATCGAGGCCACTAACATCAAACACACCATTACGGAAGTACGCATTAAAAGACATCTTCATACGATAAGTGGCCACAACAGTAGCCGAACTATTCACATGCAGCTGAGGTGCCGAGTAGAAGAGCAACTCACCTCCTTTTTTGTAGGCGAGTAAGAGCTTGGGAAGAGTACAAGACCTGCTCAAGAACATCTCCGTGAAATCTTGACGGCGAAGTAAGGAGGACCAGGTCTTCGATACGCATCGGGATATCGCTATGGACTTAATCGACAACCTCGAGAATATCTCCATGATGAGATCGATAGGGATCGGTAGTGAGTTCTCTCTTCCATTTTCTAACGTCTTCGATCTGGTGTTAGGTCTGGTAGTGGTTAGATGACCCCCGGAGAGGTTACGTCGCCATGTTTGCATGGTGGAGACACTGAGAGTTTTAAAACCCTAGACCAACGCCGTTGCTCATTTCCAAGGTGAACCACGGGGAAGAGTAAGGTTATATAGTTTATCTCAATGGGCTCATAATAAGCCCAAAATTTGGCCCTGTCCGTTTAATTTTTTTTTAAACTAAAACTGTAATGAAAAAATGGGGTTATTTGTGAGATAACAAAAAAAAAATTGTTTTGTAGAGAAAAGGTACAAAAAAAATAGGAAGAGAATCTGTGATTTTTGTTAGATAATGAATTTTAGATTCTTTGTGTACATAGGGCCATATCTATAATATTATTTGAGAAGTAAATTTGCTTAGTTGTCATGTTCTCCATAAATTTAGGTAATTTTGTTATTTATCATATTTATAGAATTATATATAATTTATTTATAAATAAAACCAATTTATATGAATATATCATATTTTAGAAAATAAGATAATTCTTGTGAATTATGTTGTTATCTAGAAATATATTAAACTATCTTATTATCTAGAAATATATTTTTATATTTAAAACTTAAAAAGATAATTCTTATGTATTATATTGTTATGTTGAAAATATATTTTAATAAATTCGTTTTATATTAATTAACTTTAATGAGATTTTTGGAAGTAACTATTTATTGGAAATTTGTCAACAAAAGCGATCTAATTTTACGTGATCAAATATTACATACAGATTTTTGGTTTAGTCTAATTAACCGATACTTTTAGCAAATATATCAATTTTGTTTAGGTACTTCATAATGTGTCAGTTAAGTAATTACTTCTCTCATATCATAATAGTATGATATAACTTAAAAATAATAATATAACTAGATTTTGACCCGCGCTTAAAAGCGCGGAAATTTTTTATGATTAAAAATTTAGATAATTGGGGGTTTGTCTTAATTTAAAGAATGTTTTGGTATAAAATCAGTTCACCAAAATCTGTGGTGATGATTGTTTTTCATTAGTTTTAGTTTCAATTTTTATTTTTTTAGATTTTGATTTTTGGGGTTTTAATTTTTAAGTTTCTATTTTTGATTTCACCTTTTGGTTTGAGTTTTTAATTTTTAGATCTGCTGAGTTAGTTTGAACCGATATTACCCATATTTTTTATGATTAAAAATTTATATAATTGAGGTTTTTTCTTAATTTAAAAAATGTTTTGGTATAAAATCAGTTCACCAAAATTTGTGGTGATAGTTGTTTTTCATTAGTTTTTAGTTTCAATTTATTTTTACATTTTGTTTTAGATTTTGTTTTTTTGGGTTTTAATTTTTAAGTTTCTATTTTTGATTTCAGCTTTTGGTTTGAGTTTTTAATTTTTAGATCCGCTGAGTTAGTTTAAACTGATATTACCAACAAACAAATCTCAATTAATCGAAAAAGTAATTTAAAACTAAAAGATGACAAAATAATTTTCTAAAAATTTTGAAATAGTTTATTTTGTAATAAAAAAGCAAAAAATATAATTCAAGCGCAGAATTTTTTTATGATTAAAAATTTATGTAATTGGGCTTTATCTTAATTTAAAGAATGTTTTGGGATAAAATCAGTTCACCAAAATTTGTGGTGATAGTTGTTTTTCATTAATTTTTAGTTTCAATTTTTATTTTTAAATTTTGTTTTAAATTTTTGTTTTTGGTTTTTAGTTTTTAAGTTTCTATTTTTGATTTTGAGCTTTTGGTTTGAGTTTTTACTTTTTAGACCTGCTAAGTTAGTTTGAACTCATATTACCAACAAACAAATCTCAATTAATCGAACATGTAATTTAAAACTGAAAAGATGACAAAATAATTTTCTAAAAATTTGAAATTTTTTATTTTGTAATAAAAAAACAAAAAATATAACCTGCGTTTTCAGCTTTTGGTTTTGGATTTTAGTTTTTAGATTTGGTTTTTGGTTTTTCTTTACATTTTTTTTTTAAATTTGTAAATAATTTAAGAAAAATAAAATAATAAATTCTTTAAAATTTACCATTAAAATTGATCAAGGTAGAGTGATTGTTATTTAAAATAAAAAATATTAACATGTTTTAAAGTACATGATTTAAATAAGTGATTAATAATAGATAATTTTGTTTTGTTGAAAATATTAAATATCTTTGGGCTAAAAATATTAACATATAATATTAACTAGGCTCTTAATTATAAAACAAGTTATCGCCAATCAACAAAACATGACGTTTATACGTAACCTAGTATCCGTACTTTCATATACGGCTATATCGATTTGAGAAGAGATTTTTGTTTCATGTTTTTTTTTTTTTTTATATATATATGATTCTTATTTAACAAGGCTATTGAAGTATTGAAGCAAAGAAAGCACTTTAGACTTATGAATATCCCACTTCCAAATAAGTATTGGAGTATTCGTTTTGAATATAAATATATTCAAACCATTGATGAAAATTTGTAATTAATCAAACTATAACTCATTTTTACTACAACTCTATATATACATTATAATTATTGTATGTTTGAGAAACAAAAAGAAAAAGAAAAAAAACGTCAAGTATTATATCTTGCGAAACGGATCGGCTTTTGGATCCTTTTTGTTTTCTTAGTCCATACTCTCATACTAGGTGTTTTACCCGCACCTGCGGGCTTAATAATTTTGCTAATATCTATAAATAAATATATAATCAATTTAAATAAATTATAATAAATAATGGTTCATACATTCAAAATATTTAATAATAATTTAAACAAATTCTTTCTATATATAAAATTTATATCAGCATATAAATAATTTCATTACACAAATTAAAAGTGAAAATGCTCATAAATTTAAAATATCTAGTAATAAATTAATACATTTTTTAGTCATAACAAAAGGAAATATAATAAAATTATCTTTAGTAATGTTTTGGAAAACACAATATAAATTATCTATAAATAAATTCTTTGCGAATTTATTTTTTATAATTAAATATATATTAACAAATATAATTATTTTTCAAGGTTAATAAAGACTTTATAACACAATATAAAAAAGTTAGATAAGGATAATTATCAAGGTTGATAAACATAAGATATTTTTTTATAATAAGGATAATTATCAAATAAATGAAATTCGTTTTTAATTTATAATTAATTATATATTAACAGATATAATTATTTTTCAAAGATAATAAAGACTTTATAAACCAATATAAAATAATTTTTGATAAAGACGAATCTAAAATTCGTTTTTTATTTATGTTTAACTATAGATTGAAGTTTTTAATTATAAAATTAGTTATATATAAAAATTTCATTAAGGGTAAAATAGATATTAACCGCTCTAACTTTTAACGTGAGAGCTCCGTTGCGAAAAATCACTTCGCAAATAATAGTATAGACATGTTTTAAAGTACATGATTTAAATAATTGATTAATAATAGATAATTTTGTTTTGTTGAAAATATTAAATATTTTTGGGCCTAAAAATAGTAATTGATTTTTGATCCATTAAGATTGAAGTTTATTTAATGTTTTTGGAGTTTTTCTTTAATACTAAGCCCAAAAACCAAACAATTAAATGTCATAAAAACAAAAGTAAGTCCAAAACTCTATTCCATAAATAACCGCCGGTTTAATTTAATTAATGCGGTTCAATCAATTATATAACTTGTATTATTTGTAACACTCTAGAAAGGTCCAAATTTAAATGACAACTTGTATCAGTAGATAAAAAGAATGACTCTGTTTTAATATAATAGATATACAATAAACAGTCGGATATATATAAGGTACGATATACAATGGTAAATTCTGAAATACACATACGAGGCCACAAACAAAAACAACATGTAACAATCAAACAAAAAGAAAGTAAAGGCAAACACATAACCTCTGCAAACAAATCTCTCTCTACTCGTTAAACACTCTAGAACAAATGAAGCATCATAGCGACCACGAAACCGAATCCCAAAACAAGGCTTTTCGGAGAGGAAGAGGAGTCAACCGGAGGAGCTCCTGCGCCGGAAAGATCAGCCGTCGTGCCTGTACCACTAGAAGGGAAGCTCCCGACGGTTTTGGTGGTTGTGCTGCTCGAGCTGGCAGGTGAGCCTGGGAACAACAGCAGAGAAGTCCCCGCTGCAGCCGTTGGAGAAATTCCCGGTGACTGTGCCGGAATAAGAGGTAGAGAGGAGGAAGGAAGCGGAGTTGAAGAAGAAGAAGAAGGAGAGAGAGCAGTAACAGGGTTAAGAGGTTGTATTGGTAGAACAGAAGAAGGTGAAGGTGCGTTTAGAGATGGAACAGAGTTTGGAAGCGGTGCGGTTGGTGCTGCGTTTGCGGTTGGGATAACGTTTACTTCAAGTTTCATCCCTTGCGTGCAATGTCCAGGCATTCCACAAATGAAGTATCTAAACAAATTGATCAAGAATTATTAATATTGCTAATTAAGTATATATAAGATAAAATCATCATATCATATAATATTGGTTTGTATGAACCTTTTTCCAGGAGTAGTGAGAGGAACAATGGAGTTTCCATTAGCGAACGTTATAAGCGGTTTAACCGCTTGACAGCTGTCGAATTCAGGTTTGGTGACTTCAACGACGTCGTGGAATGCAGAAGGGTAAGCGAAAACTGTTTGTAGCACACAAAAAAAAAAAGTCTTCTTTATGTTGAAACAATATTTAACATGAGAATGTGAGATTAATTACCAAGATTATCTCCGACAGCAAATGTTTGTCCTGCAGCCCAAGTTCCAAGATTACTGCCTACGGTCCAACCACTAGGACCACCAATGGTATGGTCTGTAGCTACTGCTAGACCGATGAGTGTACTTGCGAGGACGGATAATATGATCAGCATTTCTCTGGATGCCATTCTCATCTCTTTTTCTTTTTTCTTTTGTGAGAGGAAATCAACAAGAAATTGAAAGATAGATCAAATAGATGATGATGTTGGGTGCTTAACGTTTGGTGTCAGACGAGTGTATATATAGTGGTTTAAGAATAAGAAATGATTGAAAAAGAATCTTTGGTGAGCAGAGTTGGTAAATAATTTAACTTCGGTTTGTATGCGTTGAGAGTTAGTAATTATGTTGGATCAAGTAAAGAACTAATAATGGACCAAGAAAGTATTTTTATTTTATTTAACCTAATCCATAAATAACCAGATAACGTTCTTGGTGCTACACTTGTCCAGAGAAAACCAGTTTAGTTGCACCTAAAGCAACTAAGCAAGTTCCTTAGCTGCCTTTTAAAAATGTACAAAAACATGTAAAGTTTTAAACTATCCATAGAGAAGTGTAGTATATGTAAGAGCAACTCCAACGGAGTATATTAAACAATCTTTAACTGTTCACAAATTAATTAAATAATCATATGGGGCTGTTTTTTTAGGATTTTGTGCTACAAAAGTCTCTTGAAATCCTTAATTAAGGATTGATTCCTATTCAGCCTCTTCATTGTTCATGAACCCCATTGATATGTGGCGGTCCGCGAATAGTCATTCTTTTTTTTTTTGCTAAAAAAGAAAAAAAAATTAATAAAAAAATTCTAATTACTATTTTTAAGAGTTTATGTCCACGGTGGAGATGATCTAAGTTAAACAAGTTTTCGTATATGAGAAACAAGTTTTTTTGGTACAACTACGTAATCATATTATCAGTAAAAAGGTTGTGCTCCTTCCATAGACATTCCGTTTTTGGTTCGCTTTCGACTCGGTTAATTCAGATTTTCAGTTTTCGTTTTCGACTTTGGATAAAACCATCCTAAACTTGGTTTGGATCAGTTCAGTCATCATTTAGTTCAGTTTGGTATGGATAATTATGCTAGGAATCAGCAAATGCTCGAAAATTTATTGGGTCCAATTTGGTTCTTATTACTTTTATACCCAAAAAGGCTGATCTATATACAGAGAAGAAGAAGATTAAAAAAAAATAAACTAAACAAATCATTAAGCTGTTTACTTGTCAAACAAGAAACGTTATGACAATATAATTACAAGAGGTTAATAAAAGTTGGAATTGTTAAGGAAATAGAATCAAGAAACCATATCCATTTCATTCTCTCCTTTTTCACCTTCACTTGCTTTCTCTTTTCCATCTTCATTGTCCTTTGTTTCTTCTACATTCTTCTTCTCTTTTTCTCTATCTTCTTCACCATTCTTCATCGCTGTATCTTCCTTTTCACCGTGTGTTTTCTCCTTTGCCTCTTCATCTTCTTCTCCGTTCCCCCTTTTACTCTCTGCTATCTCTTTCATAGAAGCATCATCTTCTTTTCCTTGAGGCTTCTCTTCCTTGTAAACCAAGTCAGGATGCTTAAAGAACAAATACATATGAGAATCTTCTCTCACTCCTAAATCTTTCAACTTCTTTTCATCTTCATCCTCCGTCACCATTCTTCTCTCCTCTTCATGTCCAACCACTAGTATTAAACGACTCACGGATAATTGCACCTCCGTTGCAATCTTCTCCTTTAATTCCCTCACCGTCGCATTCTCATTCACCTCCGTATCTATAAATGTCCCTGTTATGATCTCCACACTTACCTTCATTGTCTCAAGAATCAAGATCTTGTGTTGTATGAAAATTACATGAACTAACCAAACAAAACGCATGCCCTTTTTGTATCAGGTGTCAGAATATTTTGTTTGATTTTGTGGTAATTAGTATCTTGCTTCATTAAAGTTAGTTGCTTGCGGAGATCTTGCAACGAGATCTTTTATATACTTTGACTAAGCAGGATTCTTTCACAAACTCTCCCACAAGTTTATGAACTAATTAACAAATACTAATCAGGCATCAATACTATTAAAACATAAACACATTTTATCTACTTGCAAGTAGTCTAGATTAAAACATTACATTTATTTAATTTTATATTATGTTACATACAACAAACTTAGTTATTATTAAATAAACACATAATATGAATATAATATTTAAATATATTCAAAATAAGATATCAAAAAGATGCTCTTAACCAATGTTCCGGAATTCGCTAGGCGCTAGTCGGGCGGCCGGGTTGGGCCTAGCGCCTAGATAACAAATCGGGGACTAATCGGGGATTAATCGGGGATTAGTTTTTGTGTTTTTATTATATGTAAATCGTATATATATTAACATATGTGCAATACGTACAAAGAATCGAATTCTCCTAGTGGTAGAGGTGCCTAATATTGCGATGTCCAACCCGGGTTCGACTCCCTTATGATGCGTTTTAATTATTTTCTTTTTAATTATTTTCGATCTATTAACTCTGGGAAAACGTCCCACATCGCTTACATAAGAGAAAATTGACCAACTACTACTCTATATATACAGTAGTACACATGATAAAAATAATAAGGTATAATTATTTTTGATCTATTAACTCTGGGAAAACGTCCCACATCGCTTACATAAGAGAAAAGTGACCAACTACTACTATATATATACAGTAGTACACATGATAAAAATAATAAGGTATATGGGTTTATGTAAGCCCATAAAAGTATCATTATAGTTAAAATTTGAGGCCTGTATTATCCATAACTGGGCCGATTAATTGGTAAACGGGCCGATTAATCGGTAAACGGGCCGACTAATCGGGTTTATGGGCCGAGTAATTGGTCTCCGATTTTTTGACCGATTAGGTCAAAATCGCCGCGGGTGGCGACCGAATTGCGATTAAGCGGCCGCCTAGGCGGTTAGGCGGCCGCGTTTTTGAACAGAGCTCTTAACTAGTTTTTTTCAAATTACATTTTAACAATATTTTTAATATATTTTTATTTTTAAAATAAGTATCTATTGTTTTAATATTATTTTAATAATAAAAACGTAAAAGAATATTAAATTAAATTACAAATGAATATTAACTCATTTTGATTTATAGAATAATAAATAACCTTCTATAATATTTATATATAAATATTTCATATTTCTAGTTACCAATTACACTAAATAATAATTATACAATAACATAATTCTATTTTTTTGTAAATTATAAACCAAATGAATTACACTGACAGAATAACCTACCAGAAATATTAAAAAAAAAATTTAAATTTTAATACACATATCTAAATTAAAGCATTAGGATATAAAAAAATAATATTTAATTATATGTAATTGATATATGAAATAATAATAAACAATTTTTTCAAACCTTCGTCAATACATAATAATATAATTATAATAGATACAGTCTTAAAATCATTTATATATATTTTTTATAAAATAAATGTTAAGAATAGCTACTATTAATATTTAATTATATGATGAAACATGTTATTATTGGTATTTTATAATTATAATGTTACGGGTTATTCTAATAAAGAGACAAAATATTTATCAAATATAAAATTAATTTAACAAAATATAAAACATAATTTAAGTTATGATTGGGAGTCTATTGGAATACATATCAACTATTTTGAAATAAAGCTAATTTATCACATCATAGGTGTCATAATTTGTAAGTAGGCATTTTTGTAAGTAGGGATCAAATTCAAATATAACACGCCGGATTTGGTTCTAATTTGTACACATCCTAAAACCGATAAAGTAACCATATATCATTCGGATTCGAGTTATATTGGTTTGGAAATCTAAAACCAAAACAAAAAAAAAGATACTTATTTTTATAGAATTGGATATTAAAGTACTTATATAAAATTTAGATAATTAATTTTAAAATAAATATAGAACTGAATATTTAAAATAGATATTTATGTTTCAAATATATATATTTATGATTCATTTGGATCGATTCAGACTTTTTCCAGGTTTTTCGGTTTTTTAGTTATTCGTTCGAATCTGACTAATAACACTTTGATTTGGATATAATTTCTACTACCCTACAAAAATCATTCTGATATATTTTAGATTTTTGACCAGTTACGAATCCAAAATTTTTTGTTTAGATTGAATTTAGACGTCGAGTTATGGATTTTATACACATGTCTACTTTATATGAACAAAAATGTGGTCGTATAAAATTTTCACAGAAAGATTTTTTTCATTTTTAAAAATACTATGTTGGATGAAATTAATGAACAAAACAAGTCTATCCCACATCCTACATGTACAAAAATGTGATTATATAAAATTTGCATCAAACATAAACCCGTGCTTTGAAAGCATGGGTCAAAATTTAGTCTAATCTATTGAAATAGAGTCCTATTTTTATCTACCTAAAAAAGTTGATTTTAAATTTTGGACTCTTTCAAGTTTGTTACTATACTACCTTATATACTGGACTTATTATTATATTTTGTTCACGCTATATAATATAACATGATTACTTAATATAAACCGGAATCTAATCTACTAAAACCAATCGAAATTTAAATTAATTTAACCGTATGTTATCTGTAATTATAAGGTCAAATATTTTCTGACCTGCACTCGAAAGAGCAGGTATACTTTTTGCATTAACTTTTTTTAAAAAAATTATTTATTTTATTTGTGTTTTTTTTTGTAATCATATTTTTATTTTTTTGGTAATCATATTTATGTATAATATTCTTTTTAGTTATTAGTAAGAGAGATTCTGATAATTGTATTTAGAAGATAGTTATCGAATGTGGTTATAATCGACAGTGATTGTGTTATATATTTAGATAATCACTTAGATGCCGTTATAAAATATGTTGGACTAATCATTTATCAATAAGTCATGATCATGTTTTAATAGAATAACTAAATAATTTTAAAATAGTTTTATTATAATGTTTAAGTTTTCAAATAGTATTTTTATATCCAACCCAAATCTTAGTTGAGCCAGTAGATATGAAAATTTCAAAAATCCATATCAATATTACTTACAAAATGACATAATAAATAATATTTTTAATTTCCGTATAACTCATTTTTATCGTTAAATAATAATATATACCAAAATGATATTCAAATTTGTATATGATGTATGGTTTAGGGTATATTATAAGACTAAAACTGATATAATTAATATTTTTAATTTTCCTTACTTAAGTTAATGCTTATTTTAATATTTTATGCAGTGTTTAATTTATTTTGTATTTGATAATTATTTTGTATGTCTCACAGAATAACCATGATGTCAAAAAAGAAAGAATAGTAACCCATAACTTTTAATAGTAACTAGATCTCAACCCGCGCAACCGCGCAAGTATTTGTTTTCATTTATTTTTATATAAACATTTTTTACTTCTAAATTGGTATATATTATATAAGGTGTGTATATCGAAAATGATGATTAATTATTATATAGTATAGATTAATTATTGTTAGAAAATGATGATTTTGTTATTTTTTAAAATAAACTATATAATTTTTAAAGTTAACATCAAAAATATATAAATATTAACTTATACTATTACAATATTAAATTATATAAGTTTGATTTAAACATGTATTTTATTATAATACCTATAAATCCAATGGATCATCATCTAATTTTTATTAGCCCAATAAAAATTTCTAGTAAGCCCAATAAATGTTATTAGTGAATCTAATGAATGTTATTAATGATTGAATAATGTAATGTCATAAATTCTATTAGAAGGTCCATTTTAAAATATCACACATGAAGTAAAGTCATGACTTCTCTTTTAATATATAAAATTTTTTTTTACTTCTAAATTGGTATATATTATATAAGGTGTGTATATCGAAAATGATGATTAATTATTATATAGTATAGATTAATTATTGTTAGAAAATGATGATTTTGTTATTTTTAAAAATAAAGTATATAATTTTTAAAGTTAACATCAAAAATATATAAATATTAACTTATACTATTACAATATTAAATTATATAAGTTTGATTAAAACATGTATTTTATTATAATATCTATAAATCCAATGGATCATCATCTAATTTTTATTAGCCCAATAAAATTTTTTAGTAAACCCAATAAATGTTATTAGTGAATCTAATGAATGTTATTAATGATTGAATAATGTAATGTCATAAATTCTATTAGATGATCCATTTTAAAATATCACACATGAAGTGAAGTCATGACTTCTCTTTTAATATATAAGATAACATCAATCAGATTAGTTATTTTGATTAAACGAACTAACAGTTATTCATAAGACACTTATATAAGGGTCATAGGAGCAATCGGTATTTAAGGAACAATTAAAGCTGTTAAAAAGGAGGGATTATAGTTAATCAAATGAAAATGCATGTCCACTAACTAAGTTATATGTCCATGCAAGTCAAACGAAAATGAGTGTAATATTTTAATAGGAGTGAACGGTTAGACAGGAGGGGACAGTTAGATTAAGTATGTATAGTTGAAATTTTAAATTGGACCCAATAAATATCAATAGGGTATGTTCATAATTTAATAGTATTGATACATTAACTCTAGTTAGACATCATGTTACTATATATTATCGTCTTTGCTTCTCTTCAGATCACAAGCTGCAATAGAAACTATCAAATTATGAGTTATCGGTTCATCTTTCAGATTTTCACCATACAAAACATTCCAACAGATTAAAAAATATATTTATGAACACACTATTATCTGCATATAAACTTCAGTCATATAGAATTTAGATCCTGTTCACCATTTACATAACATATGTTTTGTTTTTCTATTAAACCGAAGATACAATTCAACACTTCCATTCATATCTATTTTGTAATTTAAATTAGTTTAATATATATTAATTATCTATATAAAATAGTACAGCAGAATATTCTAACCACATTAAGAATAAATTTTATCAAATCTAAACTAACGTGTCTTGGAACAAAAAAAATCCCAAACAATGACTTTGGTTATATTCGAAAAGTTAGTTTTAATCAAATCTAACAAAATAATCCCTCAATGATGCTGTAGCAAATCACTCAAATACATGATATAGGGACATATGAAAATAGATATTGGATGACAATATTGATATAACCTCAATATAATTTATAAACTTTAATTGTAGTAAAACAGACTTATCTAATTAAGTTACAGCATTCAAACAATGCAAAATCTTATCCTCAATTGAAAGTCAGAAAATTACTTAGTCTTTTTTATACAAGATACTAAGCCAAAAGCTTAGATTGATCTTCTGTCTAAAAGATATGGTATACATCAAAGAGAAAGACTAAGCGGATGATTAGTTGTGACTGTAGATCCTCTAGACAGCCAATATTAAGTCCAGAGACATATATATCAACCAATCATGTGTCTCTAGAAATTTTAAAAATGGCTGTAGAAACTTTATTTCTAGAGCAAAAAATAAGTGATTTACAAAGTTACAACAAAAAATCTATAACTAATAAATCTACAGCTTAGATTCTACAGCAGAAAATATAAAACTATAACTCATTCCAATCACCACCTAAGTAGAATTAATTTTTTTTTTTTTTTTGCATGTCTACAAAGACTGAATTTTCGGTTGCATATCTTGAAAGAAGTTGGTAATGGTTGACCCGGAACCCAAGCACGCCTTCAAAGATGATAGACATGGTCGATCTACAACTAGAAGAGAGAGAGATCTATCAAAATGAGAAAGATATCGAACCGATTTTTGGTTTGATATAACCCTGATCGTTTAATATGTTGGTTTACAAACAAAAATTAAAGAGTCTAAGGTCTAACCTTAAAACAATAGATCGATTGACTTAGGTGATAGAGTGAACGGTTTTGATTCTGGGTTTGGAGGTAGTTTAAAGAGATTCTTTTGATGATTATCGAGGAAGACGATATAATACAAACACCAACAGAGAAGACCAAGAAACATTATATGGCCCAAAGGTGTGTTGTTTATATTTTGGTTTTACTTTTAACAAACAAACGTGTGTTTGCTTAAAAAAATAAAGAACAAACAGACGTGTGTATATATTCTATAGACGTCCAGGAAACAATATAAAAGTTAATTTTCAGGAATAAGTTATATTATAAACCAAAAGACTAAAAATCAAATAGTCTAATCTTTGTAATTATTACAATAAATATATCTGCGTACATCGCAGAGTTGTATCTAGTTTTATTTATTAAAACAGAAATCACAACCTTAATTTATGGATGATTTTTTAAATAATGGACTATTTCTAGAAAATCCGATTTCATTTATTTTCCTTGAGGCTTCTCTTCCTTGTAAACCAAGTCAGGATGCTTAAAGAACAAATACATGTGAGAATCTTCTCTCACTCCTAAATCTTTCAACATCATTTCATCTTCATCCTCCATCACCATTCTCCTCTCTTCTTCATGTCCAACCATTAGTATTAAACGACTCACAGATAATTGCACCTCCGTTGCAATCTTTTCCTTTAATTCCCTCACCGTTGCATCCTCATTCACCTCCGTATCTATAAATGTCCCTGTTATTATCTCCACACTTACCTTCATTGTCTCGAATCAAGATCTTGTGTTGTATGAAAATTAATATGAACTAACCAAACAAAACGCACGCCCTTTTTGTATCTAATGTCAGAATATTTTGTAGTTAAATACTAATCAGGTAACTGTATCTTATATATTAAAACAAAAATCTCAACTTTAATTAATGTGTGATTTTTTAAATAATGAAATATCTCTAAAAAATCATATTTCATTTATTCTCATTAACATGTTAGCATAATTAAGGTATCATATCTTATATAATCAACACATTAATTCTATTTAAATATAAATTCTATTTAAATTCATTTTATTTTTAACTATATAAATTATGTTGAAAGAATCTAACAAAATCTTATAAGACAATTTAAATATATTTATATAATAATGCACTAATTAATTTCGTAATCTTATATATTAAAATAGAAGTCACAATCTTGATTCATGTATGATTTTTTAAATAATGGTCTATCTTTAGAAAATAATATTTCATTTATTCTCATTAACATTTAGCATAATTAAGATATCATATCTTATATAATCAACACATATAACAATTTCACCTATAAAATTATTTTAATTTTATTTTTTAACTATATAAATTTTGTTGATAGAATCTAACAAACTCTTATAAGACAATTTAAATATATTTATATAATAATGAACTAATTAATTTGGGTAATTAGTAATATAATTTATTCAAATCAATGTAAGAAATTTTATTATAATAAATCATGATATTTTAATAAAATTTCTAATTATAGTATATATTATACTAAAATAAAAGTACTATATGAATTATTTATTAAAAATAAAAATAAATTAACTTATTTTATTTTTAAAAATCTTTCATTATAAATATGATTCACCATTAAAAGGAGTTTAACGCCAACCATGTATAAAATTTAATAAAATAATAAGTCTAAAATATTTGATAACAACAAAATATTTAAAAAAAAAAAATCCTTATATACACTAAAATTATAGATGATAAATTATATATTTTAAACATAACCAGGAAATATAAATGATCTTAAACAAATATCTATTCTATTGTATAATTAAATAAAGTTTAAAAATATTTTGCATGCAAAATGTAGAAATAAAAAATATATACTTGGAAGGGGGTTATCTATTTGATTATTTCAAATTATTAATTTATTATACCAAATTTGAAATTATATTATTATGTAATAACAATTTAAAAAAGTAAACATGTATAAAAATCTGTCTATATTAATAATGTCAAATAAATAAAATAATAAAATTATAGAATTACATTATATCTTATATATTAAAACAGAAGTTATAACTTTGATTAATGTGTGAATTTTTTAAAAATAGACTATCATTAGAAACTTTTACTATATGTATGTCATCAAAACTAATAATATATAGAATCTTTCAAAATACTTTAATCATAATATCTTTTGATATATTTTTATTGTCAATATAAATATATTTATTTAAATACTAACAAATATGTTTTAATTTTTTTGATATCATCTTTAAATATTTTAACTAATTTTGAAATTAGTTTTAAAAATTATTATACATTAATATATTCGGTTAAATTTATAAAGTAAAAATAAAAAATATATATATATATATATATAATATTATCTATTATAAAATCTTAGATTTTATATATACAACTAGATTATAATTCACGCCATGCGCGGGATAAGCTTTTTAAATAAATATATTGTATTTAAATAAATATTTTTTTATCAATAATATTTTTTTTACATTTGATCTGGGATGGACATTCTGTTACCATTTGGTTCAGTTAGATTATGTTTAGTTTAGATCTTTACGGGTTTGGTTTGAATCTTTACAGGTTCAGTTTGTGTCTAGGTTCGGATAACCCTTTTTTTTTTAAAGATTGAAGTTCATATATACTTTAATTTTCATCTAAAAATAAAATAATATAAAATATAAAATTTGAAAAATGAATGCCAAAATACTTAACCTTAACATAAAATTGGTTTATCATAAATATTTGGACAATAAAAATTAATAAAAATTTCAAATTTTTTTGGTATTTAGAGTATCGTTTAGCTATTTTAAAAATTTAAAATAAACTATTTTATATATTTCTAAGTATTTTGGAAAATTCTAAAACATCTCATGTATTTTGTATATTCTTAGATGTTAAATTTTAAAATAATTAATATATTTAAGTATATAAATCTGGTTCGAGTACACTCGGATACCCAAAATATTTCGATACAGTTTCAGCTCTAGATACCAAAATTTTGAACCCATTTAGATATCTAACCAATTTTGGTATGTGATCCATTTAGCGATGCAATAATTTTTAAAGAAAAACACACTCTATTATGTATATGATCCATTTTGTTAATCATTAAAAATTGTTTAAGACCCATTAAAAACGATTGGCTGAACTAAAAAACGTTACCATTAATCACAAAATTTTCAATGTGAGATTTTTACTATTTTTAGTAATTTATGTTCGTTTTAAAAATTCAAATTATAACATATAGAAAAAATCTAAATTTTTTAATTATATGATTAATGCAATTGTTTAATTTTGTTTAATAATATAAAATTAAATAAAAAGTAAAGAGGATAAAAATTGTTATCAAATCTTTACTATTCATAATTATTAACTGTGATATATATGTTAATCATATTAGGTAATTTTGTAGCTTTTAATTAAGTAAAGAATATAAAATATTGTTTTGTACACTACTAATTAAATATGATAGTTAGTTTGAAAAAAAATATGGTATATGTTTAGTTGGACGAACATATTTCTCTATCTATTCTGAAAATTATTCTCATTGTGACACGTAGTTATCATTCATCCATGTATCATCTATTAAAGGTAAGATTGTCCACAATTTATCTCTGCCCACAAAAAAAAGTGCATTACAAGTAGGAAATAGTCGTGAATGTAAGAAAAAGTCAAAATGTGACCTCTAAATAATTGTGTCTACCCCTGACTAGAAGTCTATCATCCACATGCTAATCAATTATACACACAAACACAAAATAATTAACTTGAACATGTTCATATGTTTTTCATTGCTTATAAAATAGATAGTATTTTGCCAATCGTAAACCATATGTTTTTCATTGCTTATAAAACTAAATTTAAAATTAAACAATCATGGCTTAAGAATACACAGAATTCAACATTTAAGGTTTCCAAATTGACAATAATTATATCTTTGAATTTCACTAAGAAACTACTATTTTTAACAAACTTATGAATATTTTCAAATTATAACTTTGAAGTATTGAAGGTGTATGGCATAAAATTTTAAGAAGACATATTTACTTTGGGTCATCACAACACGTTTTAATCTCATCAGACATAAAACAAAGGCTTATCTCGTCAGTTAAGCTTACATGGTATCGTTTTCGTAGGTTTTGGATGGTCCTTGAACCACCTTTGATGCAATATGTGTTATGAAATATATATGATTTATATTTCATAAAGAAGCGAATCAAAGAGATTAGGATACCTGTAGCGTAATTTCTATATATAAGGAATCCTTGAATTCATAGCACCCAACAACAATTGACAAAAGTAGATGCTCTTCTTCCACCACACACAAATGCGAGAATATATTTGTGTACTTTTAAAAATGAGAGAAACTCCAACGACATGGTTCTGGAGAAAATATATTCCGCTTTGACATAATGTTTCACTTAATCTGCTCACATTAGACTCAAGTTCAGAAAGATGTTAAGTTAATGGCAAATGAGGTAAAATTATGATGACTTCCTGTATACGAAACCTCTTGTAATATGTGTTCAAAAAAAAAACTCTTGAAATAAACAGATTAATTGATGTTTTAAAGTAGTGTTATCTATTCTTTCGTTATATACTGAAATAATTTCTTCTTGCTTTCATTAAATCCGTCTCTGCTCGTGTCACACACAATCGCCCTGGAAGCTTCACCTGTTCCGAACTCCTCAATCGAGTCTCTTACAACCTGGATGAAGGAAAAATACAATGTGGAGGAAGATAATTTATTGCCTTTCTTGATCCTTTTGCTATTTGAGTCTGTATGCTCAATGTTTTTGGTATCTTTGAGGGAACTCAATGCACAAGATAACCATATATAATGGACTTCTCAGATCAGACTCTCCAGACATTCATCACAACTAAAATGAAACATTCAACAAAATAAATGCCTCAATTAAACCCGAGCTTAAGATATATATATATATATTTTTGAAACAAACCCGAGCTTAAGATTTTATTTAACCTTATCAATTGCGTTCCATAACTCTGCTTGTAATCAACAAAGGTAACTCTGAGCTGATAGATATAGTGAGTTCCTAATACGTTTAAGACATGATCATGATCTAATTATTGCTTCTTTGTTATTGATTCATGTAGCACACCCGCCTCTAGTGTAGATACTTCTGTGTAAACCGCTCTGTTTGTCATATCTAAATGGAGTTGCCAATGTCACCAACAGCTATGCAATATGTTGAAAGTTCAGAGACACGCAAATAAGAACCGTACACAAGTTATTCAAGAACACTTCTTGTATATTAGAAACCTTTTAAACAATCTTCCTAGATCTGTTTAATCCGATTTAAGCTCAGTCACACACGACTAGCGACGGACCAGTTCCTAATCTCTAAGTTACAGAAACCCAAGCCAAACCCCTGTTTTCTCGATCTCTG